TCAATGTCTGTAACTACTGGTGAATTATGCACCTGATATATGCTAAATGTCATTTTTTTTTCAAAACTTTGAAAAGCATCATTTCGACCTACATATCTTATTGTGTATATATTTACTTTGTTGGTTCGTTTAATTTAATTCTTGTTGCGTAGCCTCAAACATCACTGTTGAATTGAGCTCAACGATCATTATGGTCATAAGCACATGGTCTTTATGTTTTTTACATCAATACAATTGTATATTGCAACAACAATTAAACAAGTAATTGTTACTCTTTGAGATTCCCATGCAGATACTTAGTGTATCTCCGGGTAGATTACCAAAGAGCAGAATTTCGAAGGGCATAAAATTGTAAAGTTGTGAAAACAGGATAGCAAATGATAAATATTACTTACTCTGGAATAGGAAACAATCGGTAAGGCTACATGAGCTACACGACGGGTGCCATATGTGGAGCAGGATCTGCTTACCCTTCCGGAGCACCTGAGATCACCCCTAGTTTTTGGTGGGGTTCGTGTTGCTTAGTCTTTGGTTTCTCTATGTTATGTCTTGTGTACTATTATATGTCTGTTTGTCTTTTTATTTTCTAGCCATGGCGTTGTCAGTTTATTTTCGATCTATGAGTTTGACTGTCCCTCTGGTATCTTTCGTCCCTCTTTTACAGTGTAGACGATTAAACTGGTTGGTAAAAGTTCCCTCAATTGTGTATTCAAAATACTTACCAGGTATATGAACTAAAAAACAATGAAATAAAGTATAATCACTATAATATCATTTGTTATAATATCTAACAGAAAGCAAATAACTTTGAATATTACTATAACTCATGTAAAATCACTGAAATGAAATCAGAACAGCTTTGCCGAACTGAGATTGAGACAGCTAAAATAAAATTACATTCTATAAATTTCCTCAGTCAAAAGTTCGTTTCCTGATAAACAGGAAGAAATATTCAAACGCAAGGAGTGTCACAATATGTAGAAACGTTAGCAACTTTATAAACAGCAGTGATTTAAATCAAATAGCCAACGTGTGTCCGTTTAAAACCATGTATGAAATTTCTTTAACAAATAATTGGTTATTTTTCTTTTCTAAGAGGAGAGTTAATTACATTTATATTGTTTTTTTTTAATTTTTAAGTCACAAAATGGGTTTAAATTATTTTTTGAGTAATTAACTTAGTTTGCAAACGTGCCCCCCGGCAAAGAGTCATTCCAAGCAACCCTTTCAGTAAAATTTTTTTTTGAAATAATAAAACAAGACAAATATACGTGTAAAATATTTAACATCTATTTCATTCATCTCAACAGACCATAATGTTAACTTTAAATACATAGCTAGCTTATCGTCGTTATTAGGATTGTTGGCCATATTAAATTTTCAAAAAAGTTCAATAGAGGTGTTTCTTAAATATGTCAATGTTGTTATAACAAAAACTATATTCATAAATATTATCAATACCAAAGGATTTTCCTATACTGAAGGTCCATTAATTGTCGACATGCACATCTGGTACAGTAAAATTGGTACCGTTTATTTCATCAAAAGATCGAGCTTTAGTTTCCAATCATTTCGTTCATACATTTAAATAATTATGACGAGAAAGAAAACTTTACTATTTTTGCGACTTAAAAAGTTTAAATAGTTAAACCTAACAGTACTGGTAATATATTAAAGGTGCTCATTCAATGTATATTTTCAGGGAGAGGGGTTCTTTATAATGAAAAAAAAACTCTTATTCCTACAGGATTAGGATCCCAAAGGTCAATATTGTCCCTATAATTCCTTGAAATTTTAGTTCAGTTAGAGTAGAAAACATTTGAAGACAAATATGTAAAAAGTTATAATTTGCTAATTCAACCAGTTCTGACGCATTTAAACACGTATGTTGGTATTAATACGTCACTACTTATGTTATTAATACGTCACCACTTATAATGTTATTAATACGTCACTTTTGTGCACTTGTTTGAAGAAAATAATAATTGTGACAAATTTTTTGGCCAAACTTTAATACTGTAAAAAGTATAAGGAAAATTCAAAATGGAAAGTTACTTATCAATTTGGAAAATCAAAAGCTGAATCAAATCAAATGAATGCAAAGCAACTGTCATATTCATTTTATGTAAATGACATGGCAACATACAAGGACAACAATGACATTGGAAAGGATGGGTATTTGAATCTATAAAGATCTCTGGATATGATTTATTTTTGTCGAAGTGTGTGGCAAATGTTTGTTTTTTTTTTTATTCAGAAGGATCTAACCCATACAAATGCAAACAACGGGCAACCTAACTAAAATCCTGTTGACTATCATAATTTTTAATGACTGATTGATTGTGTGTTGCTTAACGTTTAGTGGCAGATATTTCATGCATGTTCAGGACGAGATAAACTTAACAAACAATACAATTGGTAGTTCCTGTAATCGATGCCGTCCGTGAATAAGGTTGGGGAAATTTGGACTGCCATGCAAAAATGAGTCTGAGTAGATGTAAATTGAATAGGAACAGAAATTTTGCATTGCAAAGGCAGAATAAAGGCATTCGTGGCCTCTTTTCATTTGCCATTGTGACTTAACACCAGTCAGTGCGAAGTATTTCTGCACTTTGTAAAGATTTTGCATTAATGTAATGAATTTTGACAAAACATCAGTTTGGGAATTTCTACATGGAACGTTTCGAAATAATGCTATCAAAATAAATATGAAGCCTTTAAAGTCTTACCTATTCCACAATCTGAAAAAATATGTAAATACAGACGTACAAAAAAATGATTTTTATATGAATATTTGATACATACTGATATTTGAAATGTAAATAATGTTGGTAAAAAGTAAACACTGAGCTGACAATTTCAATTTAGATTTAAAATCAATGACGTTTTTATCTAAAGTACGCAAGACTCAGATAGATATTGCATAAGTAGCAATTGTTTGTCTGAACAAAAAAAAAAGCAAAAAAAAAAAACAACTGTGTTAAAAAAAATATTTAAGTAAATGCAAAAGTTGATCAAAGTATAACAAAAAAGGGATTATCCGATATAACATAGGGTATTATGTTTCCATGCTAGCTTACCAATGTCCACGTCTGCATTAAAATAAATATTTCAGAAGATTACAATTCTCTATTAAGCATACCTTTGTATTTTATTTCTGTTTAGAGATATACGATTTATCTATGCTAATTATAAAACCATGTCGAACATGTATATATATAGACCAAACAAGAGTGACAAATCGCAAACATATATCAATACACCGACAACAACAACGAGATGAGACACCTAAATCCCTGTGCTAACATATTGTTTAATGCACCAATCCATTTGTACTTTATCATTATACTTTTCTTAGTTATCAACATAATGTAATCGTGAACGACGTCATTGAATCCAAGCACTTCTCTCCTCAACAACGACGAGCATTTCTGGAAAATGAAATTATGGGACAAATGCTTCAATGGTCATTACTCCCAAATGTCTCCTCCGAATATGTGTTAACATTTTTTTTTATTTGTATACACAATTCATTTTGATCCAGGGTACCTGTGCACATACCTCGTTACCTTCATTATTAATTGATCTTGTATTGCATATATTGTTTACCTCTTCTTTTTCTTATTGTTTAGTTACTTTACTTTTTATACGTATGAGATTAGAGACATGCCTTGATGCTAGAGTTAATTTTCATATGTTAATAATTCTGCATGCAACTTTCTCGAACTAATCTTAATATTTGTACATCGTACAAGGAATCAATTCGTTACATACTGTATTGTAGGGGATTTTTTTTTCTATAATTTGGAAAGTGTTCTAAAGATTAAAGTACAATTCTGCATGTTCTTGTTTTTGACATTTAGTCCTCGAAATCATCACTAACCAAGTAGTCTTCACTCTGGTGTTGACATAAAAGAGAGGCGAAAGATACCAAAAGGGATAGTCAAATCCTAACATGCCTTAGTAGAAAAACAAACTGAAAAAGCCAAGGCAAAAAAAGAAAATGACCAAAAGACAAACACCAGTACACAGAACACAAAATAGAAAACTAAAGACATAGCAACGCGGACCAAATCAAACACTGGGGTTTAATCTCATGCGGTCCTGTAGGATAGTTGATCCTACTCCTCGTATGGCACCCGTCATTTAATTACAAATCCGGTGATAATTCTAAGTTGGTACATGTAGGTCACATCTAGAAAAATAGGACGATATTGTGGTTACAACAATCGGAACATATCCGTCGTCAATTGAGAAACCAATGTGCCATAACGATCAACCAACTACTGTTGGTGTCCGAAAAAATATCAAAGGAATGATTTCAACTTCACCACCTGGAACTCTTGATTATCACTTCTTCCTTGTAAGCAGCAAATGAAAGCTCTGGCATATCGTATTTACTGGGTGATAAATAACTCCATATACAGGCGCTGCTGGAATATTTCTACATATAAAAAAGGAACGTTCACAATTGGGAAGCATCTCTTTTGTCGTTATACCGACTCCAAAGAACATTCACAACTGAAAGTCCTTTATCTAATGGTAAAATCAAAAACTCAAACAGATCAAACGAATGGCAAACAATTATCATGTTCCTCACTTGGTACATGCATTTCCTTATGTAGAACATGTCTACGCTGGTAATTTTGTTAAGATAAAAAGCAAGATAAATGCTTTCAAGTAATCGTTCAGTTTGGAATGGGGAAGAACTGTGTAAAGGATAGAAAAGTAGAATGCTTTTATACTATACTTGAATATTCGTGGTATGTTCAGTTTCTGTAAATTTAATGTTTACACAATGTTGAATTGTTCGAAACACTAATGTTTGTCTACCCCAAGAATTTTTTGAATATTTTGAATTTCCCCATACTCTTCAAATACGTATTTCAACTGTTTTGGTTCAAGCGCCACTTTTGAGTCGTATGTAGAGAAAACGTGCAACTGTTGTACTAAATCATAAACCTGATATCTTTGGTGATTTTTTTGTATTATATCATTACCGTTAAGGTTCTCGTTGAAAAGATTAGTTCCATTACAAACATCACAAAGCGAAGGAGTATGAGGGTAGTAGGCTAAAATACAAATAAGAACAGTTATATCTATGTTTTGTTTTTTCTTTTCTCTGCTTATACAATGGTTCTCTGCCTTTCAGACTTCTGAAATTATATATCGCCTTTATTAACACATTAAAACAAACATATGCCAACTTTAAGAAAGTGCTAATTTAGTGGTGTCATTCAAATGTAAAATACATGTAATACAATAATACAATATATGGATAAGTCAGTCATATTTAAAGTTTATTGCCATTTTAGCTAGTTGTCATTTACTTAAAGTACAGTTTTGATCATTTTTACCATCTGTTTAAAACATTATGTCAGGAACTGTCAGGTGAACTATCAAAGAATATCGCGTAGAACAGTTCTCCGGGCAAAGTTTTTATATCCAAAAACATTTCTTACATATAACAAATTCTGAAAGTTTGACCCTACAACAATTTTCAACAGTTCTAGTTTTAGAACAATTTTGTCAGCTCTATCTATTCAAATTATAGATATTTTGTTTATTAGTTTAACTTTATCTACATTCATGTATATATATATTTATTCAGTTGTTTGTTTGTTTATCTATTTATTTTCATTTATTATTTGATTTTACATTCACCTTAAAATCAGTCAGGTACTGTCAGGTATATTGTAAATTGTGATAATCAGAGAATTACTCTAATCTACATTATGTTTGGAATGTTCTACCATAGAACCGATTCTGACAGTTCTATCCTTGAATAGATTTATTACATTTTACCTTAGAACTAGCCCTTATAATTCCACCTTACAACTGGGTGTGACAGTTAAACACTAAAACTGATTCTGACAGATCTACCGAAGAATAATTACACGTTAGAAACGTTAAGAATAGTTATGTGCACAGATTATCTAACAGTTCTACAACAATATTAGAGCTGACCCCAACTGTAATGACATATTCAACGGAACATTGTTATAGCTTCGATTAAGTACTATCTTCTAATGGAAGGAATACAATATTTAAAAAAAACATGGACGTTTTACAGTGAAAGAAGACATATATTTTATACGGTTTTTCTGTTTTGTTATGTATAAGTCTCTTAGAGAACACAAGCTAATAAATGAAAAAATACTTACTAAATGGCGTGCGGTAATATACGACAAAATTGTTCCTTTTGTCGTGGAAAGTATTCTTGACACAAGAGAAGAAATTGTCTGTTCCTATCAATCGACTACAAAATATAAAACAAATGTCATACAATCGTGATATCAATTTGTTATTGACTTATGCGTTTTAATGTCCCTTTTGTAGTTTCGCCTCTATCATACATCAGGTGTCCCAAAGGGTACAGTGCTAGGACCAGTACTGTTCTTAATTTACATAAATGACCGTCCAGAATACATCAAACATAGCTGTTTCAGACTCTTTGCAGAAGACAGTATAATATATCGACAAATTATATCACAAAATGACTGCCACAAGCTTCAAGAAGATCTTGAAGATGCCTTAAAATGCAAAAAAAGACTGGCTTATGTCTTTTCACCCAGACATACGTTGCATAATGAATATAACACTTTAGAGAAATCTCATAACCTTTTACTACAACATGCATGGCCATATATTAGAATCAGTACAACACGCAAAATACTTAGGTATCACAATTTCAGCAGATCTAAAATTGAACACACACATTGAACAAACTGCCGCCAAAGCTAATAAATCCTTATGTTTCATCAGACGAAATCTCAAAGTTCAATCACAAACTATTAAAGAAAGAGCATATCAAACCCTTATAAGACCTAAATTAGAATAATGTTGTAATGTACGGGAACAATATGCAAACAGAAATATAAGATCACTAGAAAAAGTACAGAGACGGGCAGCAAGGCAGGCATGCAACATACATCACAACACCAGCAGTGTGTCTGAAATGCTAGACACCTTGAAATGGCAAACTCTTCAAGAACACCGTTTAAGAACTAGATTAATAATGTTCCACAAACTAGCAAATGAAAATATTACCATTTCATCACAAAATTTACTACACCATAGTTAGTATACGACAAGATCTTAGATCTTTCCATAAAGACTCCTACACACAAGTATTTGACATCTACAATTGTTTTTTCTCTTGTCAAACCATTAAAGACTGGAACACATTATCCTCTGATATAACCAGAAATACCACTACAGAAACCTTCAAGGGTACACTCACTCACGATGTGCTCCTTGATACTTACCCTCACCTGAAATTAAACAGGCAATCATGTGTGTATCTTAAATTTAAATAAACAGCTGCGCCAATAGCGCATACAACTCCCTTATTGTGCATATTAGAATTATTGCCAGAATAAAATTATATATTTCGAAGGCATTTAATCATATGTTCACCAATTCCAATAATTATGTGCATTTTCCACTTAATCAATCAAAGCAAACTCAAGTTATGGTACAATATGGGAAAAATATATCTAAAAATCTATTAAAATATCCACATTTTTACGAAAACGCTAAATATCGCTTCTCAATTGCGTCATAACAGAAATTTAAAGTCATGCTCAAATACAACAGTTACTGGTTTTATTTTGTCGTTTAATCGCAACATTGATGTTAAAGTGGATTGAAGTTGTATATAAAAGGTACTCATAAAGAAAAAAATGGTCATTGCATCCTTTTCCTCAATTATAACTGTCATTGAATTATCATGTTAATGTTAAAGCCTTGACTGAAGAATTATAGATATCTAATGATTCAACAGTCATTTACTTTAACGTACTATCCACAATAACACTAAAATATGTTACTCAGTTTGTGCTGTAAATAGAACATAATAGATATGTAAGAAAAGACAGGTGTTGTGTACGTGTTATATTTCTTTTACAGTACAGCCTGTGACATACTTTGAAACATATGTACCATCTGCTATGTTAAACATCAAATGGTGACCATTTATTGGGGTCATAAACCATGGGCTGGTGGTCAATCTAATTAGGTCACATGGAGAGATGCACGGATTTTATCTATTGATTAAAAAAGATGTGTTAATGACATCTTGTTTATGAAGATTTGTTAAATTTTTACCATATACTAATATACTCTGAATGTATGGACAGAATTTTAATGAACAAAATGTATGGTACTGTACCAACTTTTTTGCACAAGATGAGCATTTGGAATATGTCTTTTCAGTGATGCTACAGACACAACTTTGATGTCATGATTGATAATGATAATGTTTTTGTTAAGTATTGTTCTTGTCCCTTTTCAATTACTTACATGTGAATAAGTTTCGTTTAAAGATTGAAATTTTTATTCATTTCAAAGAGTGAGAACCCATCTACATGTATTAGTAACAATGTAGCTATTTTTATTGCTGTTGTACATTAGATGCTTATTTGATAATTCTGTGTTTTTATTGGATGCAAATTAATTCCCTTTCTCAAGCAGTGTTCAGTATCTGTACTGTAGCAAATTCATTTTAATCTTTTTATAATGCTTATGACATAGGCAGTAACGTGTTATTTATAACATTTCACCCAAGGCCTAAGTAGGACAAAAATCACAGGAAAGAGCTACAATTCAGTTTATGATAATTGTTTTCTTTCTGTGATTTACAAAAGACTTATTTTTATTTCAGTTTTAATCTTTACCATGTAAAACAACTTTGTATACCAATATTCTTGTAAACATTTACAAATGTTGCAAAACACTTGTCCTACCTCCATGACACATATGTTGTTGTCCCTGCAGATAAAGCCCCAAACAACATCGTTTTTGTGTGTAAATATCATTACATAAACTGCTTGATAAATGAATTAGGTATTGACAATTCACTTGGAAACTCAACATATACCCTCACGACACTTACCAAAAAGGAAATCCTAGATAATCATAGGTCTGTTCTATGTTCCTTTGGAATTTCAACTAAAGACGAAAAACTGGATCTTCCATCACTGTATTGGATACCTAAACTACATAACTGTCCTTACAAACAACGGTATATTGCTGAGTCTTCCAAGTGCTCCACGAAACCTCTTTCTAAATTATTAACATCTATTTTATCAGCAATCAAAGCCGGGCTCCAAAGTTATTGTGAAACTGCCTATTCTAGAGGTGGCGTGAATCAGATGTGGATACTAAAAAATTCCAAAGATCTTTTGGAGTACATACAATCTAAGACTCTCTCATCTTGCAATAGTATTAAAACATTTGACTTTTCTACACTTTACACAAGTATTCCCCATTCCAAACTAAAAGACAAATTGAAAGAGTTGGTATTACTTTGTTTCATTAAAAAAGAATGGCGAACGTAGATACAAGTATCTTGTCTTGGGGAGGGATAAATCCTACTTTGTAAAGAATCACTCTGATTCAAACAATTCTCTGAAACTGACATTATCAAGATGCTTGATTTCTTGATTGACAACATATTTGTTACGTTTGGAGGACGTGTTTTTTCAACAGACTGTCGGAATTCCAATGGGAACCAATTGTGCCCCTCTTCTTGCCGACTTGTTTCTTTATTATTATGAGGCTGACTTCATACAGGAGCTTCTTAGGAAGAGAGATAAGAAGTTAGCAATATCCTTTAACTCTACGTTCCGCTATATAGATGATGTTCTCTCACTAAATAATACAAAATTTGGTGACTATGTTGAACGAATCTATCCCATCGAACTAGAGATAAAGGATACTACAGATACAGTTAAGTCTGCCTCATATCTTGACTTACATCTAGAAATTGACAATGAGGGTCGGTTGAAAACAAAACTTTACGACAAAAGAGATGATTTCAGCTTCCCAATTGTGAACTTTCCATTTCTATGTAGCAACTTTCCAGCAGCGCCTGCATACGGAGTATATATCTCCCAATTGATACGATATTCCCGGGCTTGTGTTTCCTATCATGATTTCCTTGATAGAGGTATTGCTGCTCACAAGGAAGCTATTAAACCAAGAGTTCCAAATGGTGAAGTTGAAGTCAACCCTTCGTAAATTTTACGGACGCCATCACGAGTTGGTTGACCGTTATGGAATAACCGTTTCACAGATGATATCGGATATGTTCGTGTTGCTTAGTCTTTAGTTTTCTATGTTGTGTCATCTGTACTATTATTTGTCTGTTTGTCTTTTTATTTTTGGCCATGACGTTGTCAGTTTGTTTTCGATCTATGAGTTTGACTGTCCCTCTGGTATCTTTCGTCCCTCTCTTTAATAATGATTATATTATATACATCAAAACTATCTGTCAATATGACTTATTTAAAGTTTATATTTGACTGGCGCTCATGGTGCCAAATAAAGGCAACAGTAGTATACCGCTGTTCGAAACTCATAAATCGATAGAGACAAATCCTGGTTACAAACTAAAACTGAGGGAAACGCATCAAATATAAGAGGAGAACAACGACACAACAAAAACACAACATTAAAATGTAACACACACAGAAACGAACTATAATATAACAATGGCCATTTTCCTGACTTGGTACAGGACATTTTAAGAAAAAAATGGTGGGTTGAACCTGGTTTTGTGGCATGCCAAACCTCCCGCTTTAATGGCAACGTCAAACACAACACCAAAACGACAACATCACATGACAGGATATAGGGAAACAGACAGAAAGCCACAAAATGGATAAGACAAGTTATTGACTTGAATTTGAAAACAAAAAAGAGAATCCTCGAAATAATATAAAAAATTATTGTACACTTACATGTAAGTCAAATGTTCATTTGCATCATTAAATGAATTCATATCATCTTTTAATCATTCAAATGATAAAGACACCATGAGACCAGTATTTTAACAAGCCTGTTTTCTTAACTAAACATTATCATTATCAATTTTTTTACAATAAATTTTGTTTACTAAGTTGTTCAAAAAAAATATTATTTAGATTAACTACAAATATGATTTTGGAAAATACGTTTTTCAAAAAGTTGTGCCTTTAGCTTCACTGAAAAGACATTTTTCAAATGCTCATCTGGTTCAGAAATGTTAGCACAGTAACATGCTTTTTGTTAAGTAACATTCTGTCTTACATTCAGAATATATTAGTATATGCTCAAACTTTGATAAATCTTAATAAAAATGCTAATGCAGATTTTCCTGATCTCTGAATATAGTTGATTTTATGATTTTTTAGGAAATTATTTTAAAATATTTGTCTTTTTTATTAAAACAATGGTAAACTAATCAAATACGACATATTCGGTTTGGCTAATTTC